TGTGTTCCTGAGTCTCGGGTTTTATTACCATGAATCATCACCAGCTCGCTTGTTTTTTAAATATTATTTCAGTATAACTGGTGTCAGTAGAATAAAGCCCAAATGAAAAGGTTCGCTTAGAAAATATCATTGATGAATTTGAACAAGACCAATAGTTGCTGAAAAGGCCAGCTATACCGACTGCGCTATGTCATCAAAGCACGAACCTGTAAACGTATTCACATCGCTAAAAAAGAAGAAAAAGACATAGCACAAAGCGGCGGTTAGAATAAAAAATGATGCTAGGAAGTTGTAGATATTTCGCTAATACAGACACTATTTAGGTCGACGTGTCTTCCTCCTTATCTATGCTCTAATATATTCCTGGTTTCCGTTTTCCGTACTTCTCAGAAAAACAAATAGCATGGTTTATTATGCGAAGCTCTGACACAATTAAGATTTGAACGTCAGAACGGATGTTTGCGGGTCGGTTCATGTTCAATACTGACGGCCATCAAGGAACAATGTTTGGCATTCTATCAATTAAAGTGGAGCCCCAGTACTAAAAAAGTTCCATGTCAGTGCTGGCTTGCCTTCGAATCTATGAGGTGGCAGAAAACGTTCCGGACATCCGTTCTCTTTTTCAACGGTTCAACTCAAGCTATGTGTACACCAAAGACTATTTTCTGTTCATGTTCATACTAAAACTGGTTTTCAAGAAATGTGTTTGAGAACTGCCTCATAACACTGACGCAATACCGCCCAGCACGCATGAATGAGGTCAAGCACTTACGACAGTTATCCAGTCAGATTCCTTTTTTGTGTTGTTTAGCGTGTTGCATAATCGTATTTAAGGAAGTCACGAAGAACACTGCACACCCTCTTTTAATGCATCAGCAACGAGATTCTCAGTCTCAGTTGGCTGAAAAAATCTTGAGGCCTCCCCGTTCTGGCTCATTACCTTCACTCCAGTGAGCTTACAAAAGCACAAAGAGTGAGGCTCTTGAGTTCCGAGCACCCGAATTAGCCCTATTTCAACACAAACGACCGGAATATTTTGCACGTTTGTTTCCTTTTCCTCCTCCTCGTTCTTTCAATGTGTGTGACCCTCTCCCCGCCCCCAACCCCTTGTAGCGGTGGATAAAACTTGAAGAAGAGCAAAACGCAAGATGTAGGTGACAAGTGTGGTCTTTCTCTTGCGTCAAGACCGGGAACAATTTGTTTCTGTTCTTTTCGCTGATATTTCTTCAGTCTTGATGTGGGAGTGATATCTGGCCATCTGGCCATTCTTTTGTAGCTTCCTGAGAAAGGCACGTGTCATGGTGCACCTGTAGCCATGTGCTAGTTTTCTTGGTCAATTCTTCGCAGCTCTTAAGGCACACAACCCGATAAGATAAATTCGGTAATTGGATGTAGTTGGTACGTAAAGGTTCTTAGCTTACAGTACTGTGCTTTGACGCCCCATATCTCTTCTTCCTATATTAGAGCCGAGTGCATCTTTCTGCGTTAATGTGTACATTGCTCCTCCAACGTATCGCTCTAGGTATAGGTAGAGTTTTTGAAGAAAAATGGTAGGCTATATAACGAACAAAAAAACTCTGATATATACTCGAACCACGCAAGATGCGTGAACATGTAAGAAAACTTCCAAACGGCCTTACGCAACAAACAGGTAAATGTCGTCATCCCCCCAAACCACGGGTATATCAAGGACAAAAGCATATCACAATGTGTGAATACTGAGACCGAAGTATCTGCCTTCTAGGATCACGCGTCTCGATGACAATAGGCCCTTTTTCAAAAGTTCATAAGGCAACACTGGGGCAGCCATTTTCTTGGGCACCAAGCGTTTGATTGAATCAGAGTCCTCGGCCAATGCTGAGGCGGCACGCGTGTTCAATACATGCTGAGTGTAGGCGCCCGAACAACGTCAGACCTGGGTAATTGACGCAGCAAACTACCAGATGGCGTGCACTTTTGAAACGAGTCTATAAATTAGACTCCCAGTTTTGAATCCCTGAATTTCCGCGGGGTCTTTCGTTGAAAAACGGACATGACTCTGACGGGGCTCACAGAGTTCCTATCGGCACCGTAAAATGATCGCGCCGCTTGTTTGTGACGGAACTCTCTTTGGAGTCCCGCGAGCGGCGCCGGACCGTCCGCCGAGCTGGTTGATCTGCACTATATAGCGCTATGTAATCTCTGATTTCTTGGAACTCACTCAAGCTTGCCCCAAGGTCCTTCTGTCGCGACCATACCGTTTCTTCGTCTCTCGCTGGGCAACTCGTCGCGAAGGTATTGAGACAACACAAATATAATAATTTTTAGATATCATCTGAACGTGTCATTTTGTTTAAGGAAGAAATCTAGATCCGACAAACATCGGATCTCCGAACGTCAGCGTTATTTTCTTTTTCGAAGGTGTACTATTATTTCGCGTTGACGCGGGACCCACATTTGTAATTGTGTCCATTTCCCCTGATGTATATTTATCAACCTTTCCACCGTCTATCAGGGAAAAAGAAAAATGCCTACTCACTATACTGGTATTCCCCTCAAGAACCAAAGCAAAGAAAAGGTCCGGCTGCTCAAAGAAGTTTACTAATTTTTTCCTTCCTGTGTCGAATTAAAATACCTCCAAGTGCAGCTCTTAGTAGTTTTTTTGTATCAAGACTTACATGTTTCGAACGCATAAAGCATCGTTTCTTCCTTGGAGAACTAAATCTTGTTAAAACCACTTCGCGCAACACATGGATAATGCGCAAAATGTACCTTTTCCTTGGTGTGACAACACGTTTATACGGCGAGCAAGTGTTCTAAATTGAGTTTTTGGCGTATCGGCACGTTTGCTCACCGAATAGTCTCTAGATGCATCCGCGACGACTAATATTCCGCAGAAGAGAGCTACTGCGCATGCTCAGAACACCTTCCAAAGCCCAGTAGACAAAATTGGCGGCGCGCAGAATGCAATTACAGGAATCGTCTGTACTTAATCAATCCTTACGTAGAAGCCTACTTTTCATCTCATACTGCGAGATCTAGTGAAGCATCGTAGCCTAAAGCAAGGGACTCGCTGAGATACCAGGAGACAAAAACAATCAAGGACACCTGCGCAGAACGAACGTTCTTCTTGTTGTGAACCTGCGTTTTTAGTACGAGATACTAGCGGTGCCCTGTCCATGATTGAGTTCATTGAATGGGTCCCGGTGTACTGCGAAAAACGGGAAATGGGAGAAACTGTGCGTTTCTTTCGAGTAATGGGTTTTCGTGTTTCTGCCAATCTTTCTCACGATCGCAGCACAAATCTTGGCCTCGCGGTTGATTTCGTTGCGTTTAAAAAAGTGACGTCGGGTACATTCGTTTAACGTTTAATATCAATATGTCTTCAAGAAATGATCAGATTGAGTTTAATGTTCTTTTTATTTCAACGCAATTCCTAGAGTTCTATATCTCTGTGAATAATAATAAAAATAAATCTAAAAGGGATGATAATCTTCTTTCTGATAATTTAATTATCACAAACGCGCTCACCATAACGTTTTTTTTTTCTTTTACGATTTCAATTTCTTTTTAGAGAGCACAGTAGGGCCTTTTGCCATTTTCAAATCAATATCACACGCTCCATCACGTCACGGTTTATCACGAATGCCGTTTTCCTTGTCATTCTAGCCTGCGGCGTACTCTCGCCCACTTCCTTCCTAGGTTGGAAAGGAGGCAGGTAAAAGGTATAGGTCGGCTGAGCCCCACTGACGTCATGGTATGCATTTGGTAGGTTACAAAGTGAAAATTCTATCAGAAATATTTCTGACATCTCTGTCCTCTAGCCTTAGAATCGATATAAGCAGCGGCAGCTTAAAATAAATACTTTCTAATGTCCGTGCGCTGACTCCTGGTGCATATGATTCGATAAATTTGACGGAGTGGCGTAGCCAAGGACATTTTTCGAGGTAGGGGGAAGAGGGGGGGGGGGGGGGGCAAGGTCTGGTATATTTGGGATCTTCATCCCAAAATGGAAGTGACGGGGGAGAGGGAGGAGAGACAGGGACGGGGGAGGTGACCTTATGTGCATGCGTATGCATATACGTGGCTTGCACAGGACGTCATTTCCGTTGCCCTCCAGAGAAGAGGGCAAGAAGGAGCTTCCCTCTTATCAGGATCCTCCTTTGTGCCTCCGGGATTGGTACAGGCGTCGCTATTCTCCCCCCAGAAGATTATAGAAGATTAACCGGTCACTCAAAATTCTTACAAAAGCAGCTTCCCTCTCCTCCTTTTACTTGGTGTTCAAATGTGTGCAATGTGACGTCAGTGCAAGGAGCCTATAAGGTAGACTATGATTCAGAAGGGGGGAGCTTTGGTCCCGGAAACGCTCCCCCCTCCCCCTCGGCAATATGCACCTGGTTTGACCAAACTGTTTTAAATTACTTTTATCTTCGTTGTTGTCCTAGGTATGTTGTTTAAATCGATTTTAATTAGGCGCATGAAACTAACATGCGAGCTTCCGTGAGCCACCATCCCCTTTACATACACCACAGTGTGCAGCTACAAGCACACATCTGCCTTTTTCGCACTTTATTCGTGCAGATTAGCGTCAACCATCAAACAACGCCACCCTGGTCGGCGACGCAGATTCGAAGATATTGTATAGTACTGGTAGTGTCAAGGACATATCTGCAGTCGCGTAAGAAGAGTTGCGTTCCCCCCTCAGTCGCGCCGTGTGCCCGTTCCGGCCTATACCACGTAGCGTAATCAAAACCCGTGAACTAAAATGTTGACGTCATCACAATGAGATAGAGCGCAGCCGCAAATTACACACGAGGGAGCCTTTTGTGTTCAATCACTGCGTCGAAGGAAACCCGCGCCATGCTCGGACATCATTGCTTATTCGAGTGTGATGACGTTCCATGAAGGTAGAAGCAGGTTGTGCACAGGCTTTGGTTCTTCTAAGTAGTGTTGTCTCGTCAATGCCACAAATTCTCCAGTGGGCGTGTTGTTATCTTCTATGCGCAGGTCAACGGCAGCTATGTCTCTCCGACGGAGCAGCCATCACTTCGCATCGACTATGCTGAGTACCATGCTTCTCATGGCCGCAGTGGCCAGTTGGGGTCTGGTTATGGCGAACCCTAGGCCGAACGATGTCTTCGGTACCACCATTGACGAGCAGCCCCCGAAGCACCAAGGTTCACTGGCAGACCAGAAGCCCTTGTCATCTGGGACTTCACAGAGGGACGCCTGCTCCCTCGATGACTACCTGGCCACATTGACGCTCAGCGACATGGAAAAGGTCATCGAGCGCTACGCCAAGCTCCAGGGCATGACGGTGTCCGGGTTGATAAAGCAGCTCTATTCCTCGTTGTACTCTTCAATCAAGCGCAAGGTGGTCACCAATGAGGTAGACTCCAAGACTTCTTTCTAGAGTGATGTGGTGCCCCGAAAGATGCTATATTATCAGCAACCAATCAGAGTGATGTGGTGTACAACATAATCTCTTAAACTAAAGAAAAGGGTGCATAATCTTTATGTGACAGAATAGAGCGTTAAAAAATGTGTTAAAAAAATTGAAGGATGTGCTGGCAGCCGAGTCTTCTAGAGTTTCTGCAATAACACAACAGAAACATGTGGTTACACTAATCGTTAATCATTGGTAATAAAATGGTAAGATAAATGAAGACATTTACATCTAAATATTCGAAGGACAATGTACTTGTTATTGTAACGTATCGTTTACCTTGAAATATCCGGTCATATGTTTCAATTCAACATTACCGATATTTACCGATGGTCTGACTTATCACCTATGAGACTTAACATTATGCAATCTAAGTCTTTGTGGGGTGCGTTTTGACGATCTCTTGACAATCTCTTGACAATTCTAACTGCTTCCTTAAGCAGGCTTTTTTAAAGACGTAATTTTTGAGGATATCTAGGTGTGCACGTTACTTCCCAATTCTCATGAAAGAAAAAACACGTTATTCTACTTTCTAGTAATGATAATCACATGTAAGGTTGTTTATAATAATGATAATAATATTAATAAAATATTAAGAATAGGTATTATTCAACCCTGGAGGGTAGCGGCACCACAGAAATGCCGTTGGCCCATGCCTGAGGCGTGTGGTGTCGCTCTGCAACAAAAATATACAGCTTCTAAGTTTAAACAAGAGAAGACAGTATATACACAAAGAAGGGAGGAGAACGAGGGGAGACATAAGAGGAGATCTGATGTGTCCTGAGGAGACCTGATGTGTCCTTCCACCAAGCTTTCGGATTTTTAGGCTCTAGGGGCGGGTACTCCTTCATGTCCTTCAGTTGTGATCGGCAGAGCGCCGCAGCTCTTTTTAGGAAAGAGTTCCTGCGCTGCTCAGTACGTCCGAATGGTGGCTGTAGACCACCGGACCTGATCTGGCGAAGATGTTATAGTAGTGGGAGCTCGGAGCCTCTTGGAAGGAGGCAGTTCGCTAGGAGCCAGAGCGATGCCACTTGTCGACGATTTGTCAGGGAGGTTCATCCCACCATTCTCAAGAGCTCTTCCGTGGGCAGGTCACGGTAACGCGAAAGACCAGGGGAGGCCTGCCGCCTTAGAACCATATAAGAGGCCCGTCGCTGCACACCTTTAAGGAATGCTGATAACGAGAGTTGGTAGGGGTGCCAAACCGCAGCACAATACCCCAGTTATGAAAAAAACCACGGCAGTGTATTGGTGCCGCAGAGCCCAAAGTGACCCGAAGCACAAGATTAAGCATCCTCCGAGCCGTGGAAGTGACCTCACCATTGTGAGCGGAAAAGTTTAATGCAATGTCAATTTTAATTCCAAGAAGCATTGCACGATTGGTAGCTGGTAGTAATGTGCCGTTCAGCTCGGGGCTGTGCTGACCAGGTGCAGAGTCTCTGGAGGTTATAACTAGGCTTTATGAGTACTTTCTGTAATATAGGGGGAGCTTGCTTTCGATGGACCAAGCGTGGACAGCGTTCAGGTCATCCTAGAAGTGTTGGTACAGGGAGGGTTGCTGGTGAGGCTAAATAATAGTAAGGTGATCGGCACACAGAAGGAGCTTGCAATGCAAGCAAGATGTTACATTATTAGTGCAGATTGTAAACAGAGTAGGTCCGAGGACACTTCCTTGAGGGATTCCCGACAAGACACGTTTAGTGCTTGACATTTCTCCTCGGAAGACAACTTTTTTGGAAACAATCTCGCAGGAAGTTTAAGATCCACCTCTCTAGACAGACCGAGTTGCCAACTTGGGTAGCTTGGAGCGAAATAGTCCATGATCAACTTTGTCGAAATCTTGTTTAAAGTCAAGTTGAACAAGTTCACGAGGGGAGCGCTCACCAGGAATTGAGCTCAGTGCGTGGATGCAAGTGGCCAGGGCTGATTCACAACTCCGACACGTCCTAAAACCGAATTCGCAAGGCGGGAGAGGGCTGTGCTGCTCGTTGTGGGCAAGGAGCTTTCTGTTGAGGATCACCTTTATTGTTCTGCACACGACAGAGATTGTCAAAATGGGCCGGTATGCAGACACCGATGATCTGGAGCCCATTCCCTTTATGCACCAGGGTGACGCGAGCCAGTTTCCACTGGTATAGGACTGAGTCAGCTTGCAGGAAGTTGGTTAACATTGTTGCGAGAACCATGCTGAATAGTCCGGAGCTGGCCTTCAACAGCAAGAGAGGGACACCATCTGGGCCGGCACTTTTTGGAGATTTTAGGTGTTCCCACGTTTCATTAACGTTGTCGACTTCTATGTCCACGTGTACGTGTGGTGCTACACTTGAGAGTGGAAGGGTGCTAGTAGTGTGGATCATCTCGGGGACAGTTCATTCCAAGGAGAATTTGGCACTAAAAAGTTCCGCTATGGCTTGGGAGCTTTGCATGATAGCCACGTCAAACACAAGCTCTGTTCAGAACGAACACTTTCCCCAGTGTTTGACGTAAGACCGGAACAATTTCGGGCAATTGGCTGCTTTCTGCGCGATTGTCTCCTCGTAGGACCTATGGGAGGTATAGATGGCCCTCTTTAATCTCTCTGGGCCTGTCGGGCTTGATTGAGTATTCGCAGAACGCAATGTTTTATTAGGGCTTGTCCTGCCGAAGATAACATCGTAAGAAAAACGTGAATTAGTATGAATTTGGAATATAGAAACTCTCTCTGAGAACCTGGAAAAGCTACTACCCTCACCGCTTTCGAAGCTATTAAAACACATCCGCCCGTTTTATTTTTATAGCTACCACCACACAATTAGCGTGACCTCTATAAAATTTACTCTATCAGCGCTGAATTTTTCAAGTGCCGAAGTATTCTCGCCTTCTTTTATTCGATAAAACGCATTTCAATATTATTCTTATTATGACATTTTATTAGCCTTTCACTCTTCGTATGCCCCAAAACTATAGCCACCTTTCTCGGTTGATTGCCAACTTTATTGACTCAGAGCCTTTTAAATTTGATATTACAATTCATTTTGTTAGTTCAGAATGCCTCATTTTTTTTATCTTAGTTCGAACGTTAAGTTATGATTAATAAAATAAATTACCACACTCAGAAATTTTAGTGCTCATTTTAAAATACTGTTTGAAATCGTAACGGTGCTTCACACGTACGTACGACGAGATGATGTTTTTCCGAAAAAAAAAAGAAACAACAACTTCAGTATACATCTAAACTAATTAGGATATATAACTTGCATTTAACATACATTTAATGATATTATATTGCTTGAGGGGGCAGGTAACCGCGAGCTGCGGAACCAGCTAAAGGTTTTTAATTGCTTTTTATATAAAAAAAAACTAGTCGTAAAAAAGAAGTTTTAATCTACATTTGCCGTATTTTTTTATGCACTATGCGTGATTGGGACATTAAAACAAGCATTTGCAAACTATGCTTGTCTCTCTACAACTACATCCGCGTTTTCTTTCAACCGTAATAGACCCTATTAGAGGGGCATCGTCAGTTATAAGTGTTTTAGCATTGCATTTGCGAACGAACGAAAGAACTCTGGGTTTGCATTAGCTTCGCATGCTCCACGCTGCGCGTTCGCGAAGCCCAAACTGCGGTCTTGAATCGGAACGCGACAACGACGCGCAAACGCAGCCTGGAGCACCCAACGCTAACGCAAACGTACAGCACTTGCGTTCGCTCCTATACACAATACTAAAACTCTAACATTTCCATACGGAATGCGTAAATCGTTCTGGTAGGTTATACACCCGCTGGAAGGAAATTCCGAAATCAGGTAAATGAATATTTCCCCGAACCTGTATATAAAAAAGACCGAAAATACCGTCCTCGCAGAGACTCTCCCCGATGGCCCTGGAGGCGATGCAGGAGCTCTGCGTGAGCGGCCTGGGCCCCGCCTACCAGGTGGGCCCCATCGGCGGACCCCTGGCGTCCGGCATGCCCGGGGTCAGCGGGTTCCTACTGCCCAACACCGAGTTCGCGCCCCTTCCGCCGCTCAAGACGCTGCGACCGCCGGTGAGTTCACTTTACAAGAAAGGCTCTTGTTCGCTGCCGTTTTGAACGATGCTTTAGCCACGTCAGCTTTTCGCCATGTTGAGATGTGCTAGGGGCACGTCATTGGGGTGCGCGAATGTGAACCAAACAGGAAAGGCTCTAGCCATGAAGAGTTCTGTAACCTGTGGGCATGTAAAAAAGAAAGACGTGGGCACACCAAGGGCGCACATGGACTGGGCCGGGCAGTGGATTGCTGGGCTGGCTCGGATTAAAGTGTGACATTTCTGTGTGCAGCCTGACTTCTACTTCTTGCGGGAAAGCAGTATGCACTGATCCCAGTGAGGTCAGTGCAACGTGCATCTTGGTCACGGACTTTTTGCCCTTCTGGAAGAACACTGGCTGGCAGCAACGGGGGTGTGATAGGAGCTTCTGGCGCATTCTGATATGCGCTTTAAGACTTTAGTATTTTCTCTTACTTTTCGGTTTTTTACTGGTTTGGGTAGTTCATTTTAAATGTCTGTGTTCTTTCTCGGCCGCAGGAAGCACCTGTATGCTTTATACATAGCTTTTAAGAATATCTCGACGCTCAGTGATTTCTACATCAGCAAAAGACTCCTGGCAACATTGTACGACAAGCAGCGAGCGTCCTGGTTGGAGAGTAGGTCGCCCTTACCTCGACGCGCACTTCGAGGTTAAGCCGGGTTCCAACTTGCGAAGGTGTATAGACATTTTCTACCCGGGAACCGCCACATTAAATCGCGGAACTTCCGGTATACGGGGAAACACCGTTTTGCTCTCGGAACAGCACTAGGGAAAAGCTCGTGTTTTATTGCAGCAGTCCATCATTATTGTTATCATTTTTTTCATATTCTTTTTACTAAATAGAGATTTCAAGTCTTTTCTTTTAAATTTTGCTACCGTATTTGTCAACTTCTTGGCTGGGGACGAGGCTAAACGAAAGAGTTCTACAGAACTTCCCCAAAAATTGCCTTCTGCGCGCTGCCATCTTTGTCTCCTAGCGTTCTGAGCTTTCGCAGTAGCTATCTTCAACGAAATATGACACACCGCGCATGCGTCCACGACTCAACAGTCCAGTGACTGGGCATTTATTGCCCGGATGATAAGCGCTGGAAAGGTCTATACTCTTTTTTCCACGACGTCCGATTAAAATCCATCGATAAGAGCTTCCTACAAGCAGCGACATTCTTTGAAGCGCCGACTGCGTGACGGTGGAGTTTTAGGAAGCGAATGGCGTCGCACAGCTGAGGCTTGAACTGGATGCCGCCATTTTGTTCCAGGGGAATGTGCTTCGTTATTTGTATTGGTTGTCGTTAGTTGTAAAATAAGTATCAAGGGACTTTAGGTCCCACCAAAGCGAACGCTTACAGTCCGACGGAGACTATCATGAAGCACCAAGAATGCTTCGTCATGGCGCTCGTGCGCTCTTCGTCTTTGTGTGTTTACTGTAACCGGTTAAACTAATTAAGCAAACAAACAAAAAAAACAATATCGCGATGGATTCATTGCGCGTGATTAGATTAACCGGTGACAGCAAACGTCCAAAGAGGACGAAAGCCATGACGATACATTCTTGGCGCTGCTTCATCGATTTTCACAGAATCGTAACGTTCGCTGCGGACGGACTTGACGTGAAACGGGGTATAGCAATGCCCCCTTCGTACAGGAGCCCTGCCTACACTCTAAGGAATTCTGCAGTACACCCGCCAGCAATATGAAGGTGAACACCTTACCTGGTTTCTTGCCTGTTTTACGGCTCCCTAAAGCTATATTAACTCTCAACGTCTCAAGCAGTACGTGCCTTGGGGTTTAAACTTTGCGTTCTAGGCCTCTTCTGGAACAGAGCTTGTTCCAAAACTTCCAGGAGCGTCAAAAACAAGAAGAGGGCTGTTCACCTTCATATCGCTCACGGGTGTACTTACTAATCTCTGCCATCTGCGTAAAGAGCTCGGCGAATGACCTTAGCCAACAAAGATCTCTACGGCAAGCTGCTAGGTGTTGCGCACGTTTCACGCTCTAGGATCACGAACGTTTCGCGATACTGTGAGTTTTAGGTATGCAAAACAATTGCCCCGATAGTTGTTCCTAGAATGAATCGATACTACCGCTAACAGGGCTGAGAAGCCTGGCGACCTTCCAGAGCCTTCCATACTCTCGAGCTCCTCTTCCTCAGCGCGCACAGGTGGTCGAGCTCCTCCTCGCCTATCCTTCTGGTCACGTGACCTCCCCCGTTAACCAATCAGCATCGAGCATCAGGGTTCCATATCAGGGTTCATAAAATGCGGAGAAAATACACAAATAACCTTTCAGGATAATATGTTCAGAGCTAAATAAACAGTCCGCGTTGCGACAGTTGGGCATAACGTTTCATAATGCCAAATGCCACAGCGAGGATTTTTTTTTTAATACTAAACCTATTTTTAGTCTCGTCATTCGCCGAGCTGTCTCCCTAGATTCCGGCGAATGGATTTCCCAAATGAGTTGCAGGAAAGCAGGCGCCCCAGATGTCTTAGTGTGTACACTCTCAGCTGAGCAGTGAGCTGACCTTTACGTGAAAATAGCATCGCTCAAACGAAACATCATCGTAAGCTTTACCAGCAAAGACTAAAAAAAAAAACTGTCGCTGAATTAATAGCAACTTATTGGTGCAGTCTTTTTTGTTTTGTTGGTTCCAAGGTTTGTTTATTCGTGTTTTAGGAAAGTAAACAAATGTGAGGTTCTCTTCTAATAACTTAATTGGAAGAATGGGAATAATTAACTCGCGTTAGAACTAGCTTCAGACCCATAAAAGCTAGTCCGTTATACTTGCACAGTGCTGGGTATTCATCAAGGGCGATACTGGTAGCTTTTTATTTATATGGTAGTTTTGTCATGTTCTGATAAAATGGCCTTCAGCTTCTTCGAGTGGCTTACATTTCATAACATGAATAGGGATATGCCATAAAAATATGTTAGTATAAGAAAATATAAATAAGTTAGTATGGTCATGTATAGTTTCGAGATAGTATTGTCGCAGCAGGCTCCGTAGATCATTGAATCACTCAACACCTGCCGTATATTTATGTTGACGTACCAAATAATAAAATTATCGGGTATTTGTAAGATAACATGTTACTCCAAGCGTTTAGTACAATATATTTCGTGTACAGCCAATTTAGCCTAGAAGAGTAACTTCTCAGTGCTACTGGTCCCAACAAGCAAAAAAGGGGGCGATCGGTCATTTTCACTTTATAGGTAAAGCTTTACAAGCTCCAGCTTCACAAATCTAGGAAGAAGTTAATTAAAAATCAAAGCGCCTGTTATGGATCATTACTATAACCAATATGCCTAACCCACCACCCGTGTCTGCTCTTGACCGCGCCCCTGTCTACGTTGTTTAGAAGGCGCGTTTATGCCTACGCTAAAACAACCAAACAATACAAAATACAGACTCTAGAAACGCAGTTTTCATGTGCCATTCCTGTTTTTTCTTGTTCGTAGCCCGGCGCCAAACTGGTCATCCAAGCTGGCCTCAACGACGTCCAGCTTCCGGAGGCAAGCATCGTGGTGTCCCCCCAGATGACGCTCCTGGAAGCGCTCCGCAGGGCCGACTACAAGCTCGCTGCGGACACCGGCTTGGGCGAAGGAGTGCTCCAGCTGGGATTCTCGGCAACCAGAGCCTGCTACATCGTCGAGGCAGTTGCTGGACTAAAGGCTACTCTCGACCGAGCCTGGAAGATCGCCATTAACGATCGATTTGGAAAGGTGAACAGAAATATCATTCATAAGAAATCACGAAGTGATTTGCTGTATCGCCCCCTTTTAAGAGAGAATGCGCATTATTAGTAGATTTTCATGAAGTTCCGTAACGCATGGCTGTAACAGCCGACGTTAGCGGCCGGCTGTAACGGCCGACTGTATCGGCTTGTTGTAGCAAACAAAACAAATAAACACAGAAGAGTTACGCTCCATACGGAACCATATAAAAACCTTCAGTACCCTGGCAGGATTTTAGCTCTCCACTTTGAGGTTGTGATCCAAGTGCTTTGAGGAGACGGAGCTGTCCAGAGTCGGTGGTACGGGTCACGCAAAAAAGGGCCCATTCTCGCAGCGCGTGAATGGGCTTACGCGCTTCGCGGCCTTTTCCGTCATGTAGCGCATCTCATGGCTCAGAAATGAAAGCGCATATTCAGTAGGCGGTGCCCTTCAGACAACATTCTCTTCTTCACTGGAAGGCCTATCGCACCATTCTGTGCTCACTGGTCTTCGTCAGCATCATCAAGCTTGTATCATTTTGGTCTGTTTTGTCGTCACCACAATAATTTCATTGCGCTCTCTCATTGAGGGGTTCCTTCGAGCGATAGCTTTTTAAGATATTCCTCCCCAGACCTTGTTCGCCCGTGTTGGTGTTGATTGTACCTTGGCAAGGCAATGATTTGACGTCGTATCGTGCGCCACCAATGACGCAGTGCCGTACGGACTAAGGGGAGTTGCCCGGGATAAGCGGCACGCTAACACTTCCCTCTTTCTTCCCCACCTCTCCGCTGCGTAGGAATAGGGGCTGCGTAGACGGGAAGATTAGTGGAATAATTTAGTAGGCACGGAGGCTCTTCACCGTCAGACTGTAGGGATATGGCGACATTTTGAGATAATAATGCAATGCCCCCCAAAAAAGGTGCGGGGAAGAAAAAGTGGTTATACAAGTTACCCCCAAAAATGTACAGTTTTTGTTTTCAGCGCGAAACGTTAATTACTCATCGCCGTACGCTCAATCTTCGCCCAAATGTCGCTAGCGGTCCAAACCAAATGCCAGAGTTTTAAGACGAACCGTTAGCTCATTCAAAAGCTATAAGTAGGGTTCGGAGTTTTCGGTTCAAACTGTTAAAAACTGATAAAGGCACGCCAAATCAATTTTTGGAAATTCGGTTTTAACCGAAAAGGTCAGTTTTTAGGTTCGGCATTTTCCATTAAACCCGATAAAAGTTCGTCGGATTCATTTTCTAAAATTCAGTTTTAACCGGAAAAGGTCACTTTGACCTTCCAGTCGTACCGCAAAGCCGTGGTGAAAAAGTGGAACGACAGTGTCTATCGAAACGTGTCCGTATGTATGGGATACACGGATGGCATCACGACGTTTTGGTTTAATGTGCGTATCATCGATCGGAACGTGAAGTCCGAAATGCCCCATGACTTCGCCATGTACGAGCGTGTTTTCAAACTCGTTGTAAGGAAAACTGACTTGATGCAAGCTCTGCATGTGGTGTTGTGCTTCAAAACGTTGCACAGTGTCTCTTTCGGCAGTCGCAATTGGTTGATTGGCCGATTTTGGCTCAGGCAGCGCTTCATCTCCTCAGTCTGCCAGTGTCCAGTGTATCGTTGAGAGGGCATTCTCGAAGCTCAGGGTCATATTAACAGGAAAGAAAGAGTGCAGATCAAGGAGGAGAACCTGGGAAAGTACATGTGTGTGTACCATAATGAGAAAACGTAATCCTGATGTTCAGAAGGTGAAGTTCCATGTTTTTTGGGCATAGGCTTCATATCTGACTTGTTTGTACTTCTGTGTTTTTTTTCTTATTTCTTTTACAGTTGCACACATTTGCCAAATGAAGGGCATTTTTTTCTTCAATGTATCTGTGCCGTTATTCATTGAGTGATCACAAATATCAGAGCTACGTAGAAGGATCATCTGATCCGGTGTCTGCTGGTGTTTATTTTATAGTCACCGAAAGAAGCCGATAAACTTTTGCGGGTATAAATATACGCTAAAAAAAACGGAATCTGAATTTTAAAATAAACACCGAAAAAAGTACGCCGAATTTTGAAAAAAAAAATAGAAACCGAAAACGCGGAACCCTAGCTATAAGTGATTTTTTTTTCAAAGTTTCAATGGAGAAAATGCTGACTGGCGGGACTCTCGAATGCATGTTGCTTAAGGAGCCAGTTACCGAAAACAGTAAAAAACGGGCCTTTTTTCCCATTGAAATTTTAAGAAAATCACCCGTGACTTCTGAATGAGATAATGGTTAGTTCTGAAACTTTAGCACCTGGTCCGGACTGCTGGCTCTATATATATTAGACCTGAGAATGAGCGTCAGCCATGTGTAGTTTACGTTTCCAGTAAAAACAAACAAAAACACGTTTTTTTTTTATATGTGGGGGGGGGGGGGGGGGAGGAAGGCACGCTATACGTTTAAAATTCCTTCACCACGTGTTAAATATAATATAATTTTGATAGTAAGTGCTGCTCGTAAAAATCCCCATCAAGTGCTCTTGCACCTTCATTGCACTTGACGGAACGTCTACGCCAGGGGAGTTTTCCGCTTACCCTTTCCTATGCAAAGCAGCCGGTTAGCGGCTATGACAAAAGTCCAGGTCGACCTCTCTGTCTTTTATTGCTGAGCCAATGGACGTCAAACATTGTTGAACATCGGGCCGTCACACCTATACTTGCATTTACCTCAAGAACCGTAGTAAAAAGAATTCAACTTCTCGCGGAGCATCACGGATGAATTCCTCTTTTTGCTGAATTAACATGTACGTGGGTAAATTTTCGATTGGATTATTGTTATCTAATCAAGGCGTACACGTTTCACAGATCAGAAGCATCGCTCATCCCTCTGACAACCAAATCTTGTAAGATTTACTTTGTGCAGATCGTCAATAATGCACAAATCTATTTTTTTTTCTTGATGGGACAAAAAGTATAGAGCAGACACCGTATTGATCTAAGAATATTAAGCTAACAAGGTGCCAATTAGTTTATGTTCGGGGGATCGGTTGTCGAATGCTTCGACGCACCCAGCTCGGAACGCATGGAGCGCTGGCTTGCGCTGGGGAACCTATAGATCCTGCTGAGTTCATTGACCACCACTGCCCGTTTCGATTTAGATGAGCATCGTAGCGGCGTGCGTTCTTATATCACTGCTACCTGGTGCACGGTAAAGACCCCAAGCTAGTAATCGTGTGGCACTGACTAAATTTATCACGTACGGCAGAGACACCAGAGGCCCACTGGGCCTGACTGACTTACGGCTGGCTGTTTAAACAAACACACGACACACTTATGTATGTGGAGAAAGGGCCGCAAATATAATACAACTGTTACTCATTCTTATTAATATTTATCTCTACTTCCGACAAAAAGAGTGACGAAGCTCAAAAAAGGTTTACCGTAACATTGCTTCTTTCGCAGTTGGTCTTTGAAGACGTGTGCCTGCCTGGGAGAGACGACCTGGTTGTCCACCCGAAGATGACCATCACCTTGACGTACTCGGACGTCAAGAGGACGGCTGTGTGACGGAGCACGGACAACGCAGGTTACGGATGCAGTCCGGACTACAATGATGCCGCTTTACCTCACCTGAACTAAGTTATGCGACTCCACCTTATGCTCTGGACCTCTCAGCGACCCGTAATAAATGCACCATCGCGAGGCCGACAACGGAGCGCCTAAACGAGGCGCCAGGTTATTTTCATCTTTGGAAGGACGGCTAGTCGCACGTCGAGCCCTTCTTCGGCTGGTTCACCAAAACGGTCCGCGCCCGCTTCACGCTGCCATGTGAAGGGCTATAAAGCGCATCCTTCGGTTGTGATGTCATGGCTGGCGGGTTTGTCGGCGCAGTGTTGACAACAAAAAAAAGTGGTGGAAGATGATGGAGAAGCACCAATAAACAATGTACTAAATGGCAATAGATTCTGCGATCACTCTGGTGTCTTTGTTCGAATGTGTCAGGGTAATATTATTATTTATTTATTTCGTTTAAATCGGGACGCTAGTCACTAACGTCTTCTCTTTACGATAGCAACATCCGATCTTTTTTGTTGAGAAATATATTGTGTAAACAAACTATTTTTCGCCGGGACAAACCTCAAGCCCTGGGACAAGGAGATTTTGTGTCGACTTGTCAGTTAGGTTCTTTCTCCGTGTCTCGGAATTTAGATGATAATCAGTGCTACAGTTTTCTAATATTATATCACGTTCAATTTAAAGTTTACATATTATCCACGCAAACAGCGAAGCAAAACCCAGGAAATACGGAGGTCTTTACATTTCAAGAAGTGAATAATGTTGCAAAAAAATGGCACTGCAGAACAATACAAATATCTTAACAGTACTTTCTGTGCTCTCTAAAACACGGGCAAAACGTGAGTCTGAGTGCTTGGTATGGCCACATAACTCTTTTTTCTATATTACAAAATACAATCGAAAAAAAAAAACGCTGAAGGTACTGTGATTTTTATTACAAGTTGGACACTTCACATGATTTATAGAAAAGAGATTAAGTCTTGCGGTACGTTTCCTACAGTACCGGCCCGCACGAGGGATTTTTCTGAACCACAAACCCCCTGGATGGAGGCGAGTTGACGATCTTTAGCCGCAGTCTGAGGTTTTTCTGGAGGCGAAAGATTAGTCTGAAACTTGGTGAGAGATCATTTATTTCTTTCCGTCATCCTCGAGAGCAGAAACGAACAGGATGCTTGTTTGAGTTTGAGGGCGTGTCAGAATATCGCCGCTTGTCGTTAGGAGGGAGCATTTAATGCGGCTGCCGAAGGCCGCATTCGCACTGCCCACGCATTTCTGGAGAAATAATGGCAGAATTATCGACGGACGTATGTTGGCTTTATACATTTGTATGCTTAGCACATGTCTGCAGAGAGTTGTTTGCACGACCAATGTGAAAAGAGCGTCGTACGTGAAAGAAACCCGCCAAGGACGTTTGTGCAGTCTTTCTTCTTTATGGTGTATTAGCAGCGGAACCGCACGCGTCTCCAAGGTATGGTTCAAGTAACGTGCGACAAATACCAATGTACGTCCACCAAGAAAAGCAAGATGAGGGTTTGGACACCCGAGCGTTCTTCCGCACTCCCAAATGCCAAAAAGCAAAAAAAAGAAAACCCTCTCTTTAGGTAAGTGGGTGACGCTCCAACGTAAGATAGGTTGCTAACTTGCTGTGCGCCAACCCTATGACGAGCGCCGCAGTACACGTGAGCTTGACACCCTTCCACCTGGCACTGCGGTCAGAATACTGACGGGAGGTGCGTCTTACGGCCTCATTCTAGGGCCAGCGCCTCAACCCCATTCCTACGTGGTGCAGGCGACGAGTGGCACTACAGGGCGAACAAGAGGACACCTGCAACCGGCCGTGGCATGCACCTACCGTCACAAGAAGTAGACGTGTGAGTCGCCCACCTGACCGCTTTGGAGAAGTGTGAATGTTGTTCATCCAAAGTGGGGCAGTTGTCGGGAGTTCATCGGCATTGCCACTGTCGTCATCATCATCGCCACCGCCGGTGGGGCCGCTTCCGCGCGCGCACCCTCTCTCTACCAGATCGCGACCGAACACGGCACGGCTCACACCTGTGTTGCCATGCTAGAATAAACCTTCGCAGTTCAATCAATCTTATCTCGACCACGACATGGTGGCAGCGGTGGGATTCCGAAGGGAAGGCGAATAAACTTGAAGCGTCCGAACGGCGTCAGAAATTTCGTGTATTTCTGCGATTCCTCTGCCAGAGGTGTTCGCCAATATCCAGCTCGAGCGTCGAGTTTGCTGAAGACTCTGAGAGGCTTCTTCGGATTGTAGTGCGTCAAAACTGGCGCTTTGGATAGAGCTTCTTTCACTGCTTCAAAGCTACGCTGCTGGTCGGGTGCCTAGAGCCAGGCAGCGTCGGCGCGGAGGAGATCCCGCATTTTTTTCGTTACGAGCTCAACCGGGACCGACTAGTGGTAGGCTTCCTTGATACGGCTCTCAGCGAGAAGCAGCAACTCGACTCCGCGCTTACCCTCAAGACGACGGTGGTGATGATGATGATCTCTCTACAACGTTTAACACTGTTGAAATGAACTCAGCATTTTTGTGAGACCCACTAACAGGTATGTGCCTTTAAGGAGACTATGATTACTGCCCAAAAGGCCAGTCTCATACAGTTGAGGAACTTCATATCCCAGAGGATGAAGAGAGTGAGCTTACCACATAAAAGTCCAGCAACCTTGTGAAAAAAACAACAACATTGTATCTTGAAACTTTTCTAAAAGTCGTTCAAGTAACGGTTGAAAGTGGGATATTTCAGAGCGCAAGATAAACGCTATTTACGATGAAAAGCTGCTGCATGCAACGTGGGAGCCTTGTCTTTCAATTTGACTGCTGAAAACTGGACTATCCTGCTTCCTTACGAACTTCAAAAATACCAGTGCAAAAAACAACAAAAAAAAAGTTACGACATTCACATGTCGGAACTAACAAGAAAATCTACAAACAGCTTTGCTATCATCGGTGAGTACCTGTGTGACGACGCCGCTCACATGTGCTTGGCTCTAGAAGAATTGAAAGAGTGGGTTGAAGACAACGTTGCGGTATACTCGCACGTGACGTACGTAAGTGACGGGGCTGGCAGTCATTTTAAGAATCGCTACCAGCTTCCCCAGTTTGCACAAAACGATTGCCCACAACGTCATGGTTATTTTCTGCATCTGGACATGGGAAAATTTATGCGACGGAGTTGGCGGACTCGTGAACCACCAGGCCACGCTGAACAACCTGAGAGTACGTTCTATAATCGCAATTCAGACAGTCAGGACAATGGTGAATGTTCTATCCGAGAAAGTGAAAGGCGTGCAACTTGTGTATCTGGACGAAAATAAAGTTGTTCGGTAGCGTAAAAAAAATAGTGCTTGACGGTGCGCGCTTTTCCTGGCATTCAGTCTTGCCACGCGTGGCGGCTGCGCAAGTCAGCAACAGAAGGAATCTGTGACATATATGTAGCACGGACAGCCGGTTCTGGTTAGAGGAAACTTTATTCAATGGGTACAGCGAGGAAAGCCTTAGCGTAAAATGCCGAATTTGATTCCTCAAGGAGTGCTCATTTTGAATGCAGGGACAACTTATTTATCAGTTGTTGTTTAGTATTTAACCTACTGTTTTCTTCATGATTGCTTAAAATTATTATCTGATCACCATACGAGAATCATGAAACGGGTGGTAACCAAAAACAATAAATAAACAGAAAAAAAAAAACCTTTAAAGTGGCGAACTTTTGCCAAAAATAAAAGGGTACAAAAGATAATAACAGAGTGTCGCGGCCGTCGAAGTCGGCGTAGCAGCAGAGTCGAACGCTGGGGCGAAACTGACTCCGGCTTGCCACGCGGAGCCGCTTTTGTACACGCGTTGGCTTCTGGAGCACTCGACGTAGAAGGTTCGACGCGTAGAACATTCTAAACTCGAATCAGCTAGACGGTTCTCGAATTCACCAGAACATCTCATTACACTGTCAACAAAATGCGTAGCCGCGGCCAGGAATCGAACCCTGGCCCTTCGCGTGGGAGGCAAGCGCGATAACCGTTAGGCTACGGCCGCGCTGCCTACTTGGCGCGCGGCAATATGTCGGCTTGCCACGATCCATTCCTACACCGAGATTATCGGAGTTGCTACAGTCAGGCGCAGTGGCACCCTTCACCTGAACTTGTTTGTACCCGGAAATACATAGCCAACCTAAACAATTTTAGTGTGATATCATTATTTTTGTGTGTGGAAGTAAAGTTGTTTTTTTTATTCTGAATATAAAATACACCGGAAAATAAAACTTCACACTGCATCACCTTTTCTCGAATCACTAGTCTCTAATATAATGCCGCTTTGTACGTTGTATGTAAAATGCTATATATAACTTCTCCTCACTTTTAGTGTGTGACCGATTGCTCTAGTTGTCAGTGACCTCATCTAAATAAAAATACATGATATGTGTGCGTTAGCTTCATGAAACTGGAACTCAGAGTCACTTCTCGTATAGGGCACTGCTAAGTGTAGTATTATAAAAAGGACCCTATTTTGGGGAGTTATCTCTTGTTTCTCAATGAAATAATGCAACATGTTTCAATAGAAATGCATTCCGAAGTACAGTTTGACAAAGTACGCAAATCTAAAAAAAAAAGTCGAAGGTGCCGCTTTTTTTTAATTTGCATCCAAATTTTTTTGTTTGATTTTTTCTTTATGTTTCTCTAAATAGATCACGACTACCGTATCATCAATCCCTCTAATATATATATATATATATATATATATATATATATATATATATATATATATATATATATATATATTAAACAATAGCCATATATTAGTAGAATATTCTCTGAAAAGTATTTATGGGGATTAAATTATTTCATGAGATACAGGCCTCCAAATTTTACCATTTGTCGTTCAAGCAGCATGTTTGGCGATTTTTAGAAAAAAAATATAATTTAAAATAAATATTATTACTATATATTACAAGCAAGCTATACCCATAGTTTTTTTTCTAAGAAGGTATTAGAATTCTCCTCATTTTATTGTTTTAGTTATTCACTTTCAAACGTGCCCGCCCCCTCCATCAGTGCGCGTGAACAGGAGCTACCTGGGTTTGTGAACCATTAATGGTCTTCAACAAATTATTCGTGCTGTAAATGCTGCCGGTTACGTCCTTGACCTGTGCATAACGAACATCAGAGTGGTCTCGCAGGGTGTTGTTTTCTATCCAGTCGTTCCTGTTGATAAGTGGCATCCGCCATTTTCATTGGTGGTTTCATGTCCGTTTACTGTCAGATCAGATGCGCGGGCTCTGATGTTTGACTACGCTCGTGGTGACTATCTCGGAATGTACGCGCATTTGAGCGATATTAACTGGGACACTCTTTGCGAGTGTGCTGATGTTGACAGT